GGGGGGGAATTAACAAAGAATGTTCCCTAACTGCATATTTTATGTACGAGGATAAATAATGTTCTGTAATTAGTCAATGTTTTTGTATGTGCAGGATATCGAGGATGATGATAATGATGAAACAGATAGGAACAAATGCTGCCCAGTCTGCAACATGACCTTTTCATCTCCTGTGGTTGCTGCTTCTCACTACCAAGGGAAAACTCATGCAAAAAATCTGAAGATGAAGGTACAAGGAGGAGTTAAGGAAGGTAAATAAACTTTTATTTTTTTTGTTCTTCTTTGCTTTAGAATTGTAATATGACCGATGTGTTTAAGAGTATTGGCATAGTTTAAAGTGGATCTTTCTCCCCCTTGCACTAAAAATCACATCAGCATTCAGCTCTGCATACTGATATGAAATCATCTTACTTTCATTAACAACCTGTCACATATTTTGCTATCACATAAGGAGTTTTTATTAGCCTCGTATGTGATAGCAATAAAGTTTAGTAAAAAAAGGAAAAAAACATTTATGTTCCCCCCCCCCAAATTTTTTTTTAAAGTAACACAAAAAAAGAATTAAAAAAAATTAAAAAAATTTTAAGTCCCCACCCATACATACACGCATGCAAACATGCGTCGGGGGCGCATACGTGCAAAAACGACGATTGCGCCCATTACGCCGCACATGTTACATATCGCCGCGAACGTCGGAGTGAGAGCAATAAGTCTAGGGCCATCAATCACTGATAACACTAAACTGATGAGCGGTAAAAGCTTTTAAAGTGTCGCCTATGGCCAATTTTGGGTATGGTAGTTTTCTGCGATTTCGCGGGTGCGCGCAATTTTAAAGGTTGACATGTTTGGTGTCTATTTATCCGACGTGACCCTGACTTTTATATTTTACCAAAAAACTGGGTAATAATAAATGTTTCCTAACATAATGTAAAAAAAACTTTTTTTTTCAACATTTTCTTACATTTTTCCTAATTATAGTAAAAAATAAAACCCCCAGTGGTGATTAAATACCACCAAAATAAAGCTCTGTCCCCAAAAAATGGTATAAAATTCATTTCAGTACAGCGTTGCATGACGGAATAAACGTCAGTCAAAGTATTGCAGCGCTGAATACTGAAAAATGGCCTGGCCAGGAAGGGGGTCTAAACACCTGGTCTTGAAGTGGTTAAATAAACGTATTTTTCTTTTACTTACAATTAGTTTTTACATTTCCTGGTCCTCTTAGGCATTTGTGATGCAGCCTCTGCCTAAGTGATGCATCCTTGGAAGGTTACATCAGTGTATTGCTAGGAAATCTCATCTGTAAACCACAATTATCACTGTTATTTTTGCACCTAACCCTTGCAGTGCAGTGCTTTAAAGCTCAGTAAGAACACTTCAAAACTGAACACTTATTTGCTCTAGGCTTGATGATGAGAGATTTATGTGTTGTCTTTAGCCTGAGTGACTGACTTCAGCTGCAGTTTAAAGGTCAGAGGTCAAGATAAACAAACAAAAACAGAGTGGATGGATCTCCCCTGCTGGGCTATTGTATTCTGACAGCCAACGCCCACCACTGTCTGAGTACGTTAACAGTGACTGCAGCTGATTGGCTACTCATTTTCCATTGCGCTCCTATGATAAAAGTCAATTGAATAATTGATATTAAAAAAACAGCAACACCCTCTAAATGGCGATCCCAGGGCAGAAAACTTTCCATATACACAAAATGCTTAAAAATGTTTTTAGTATTTATTATTCAACATAATATATAAGCAAAACATAACAGAGAAACTGAACCATATCCCCCATAAAGCAAACAACAATATGATCCTGATATCCATATTAATTTGACATTGTATGCTAATAAAAGATATCTATTGCACATATCTGTCCCGGTGTTTTATGAATGAATAAATATTTTCCCACACTCCTGCAAACCTTTTCCCGCACCCAAATATCTTTTGTATGTCCATGATTGATGAAATTTAGAGTATAGTCATAATCCCGACGTAACAGGATTGTTATTATAAAAAAAAGAAAGTTGTACTGTTGGTAACTTGTTAATTTAGTAAGGCTGGGCATTCACCTATCCAATTTTTTTTTTCCTTCAACCCGGGGGCTGAAAAAAAAATTGACCCGATTCCTCCAACACAAACAGTGTGTTAATCGAGGGATCCCGCTGTTTGCATTGTACTCTACCAGAATACCCGATCAGAGCGGGCCGCTCGTTGGCTGCCGCCTCTAATTGATGGAACATTTTCCAGCCGGCTCCTTCGATCAGCTGATTGAGGGATGCTGGCTGAAAGGGAGCTGACATCCCCACACACTGTGCATATTTCAACCACTGCATTGAAAAACCGGCCAAAATTCGACCAGTGTATGGGCACCTTAACACCGATCATCTCGCAAACAAATGCATGATGAATATTTCAGGTGCACCTGTGATTTCAAAGCAGCATTCCATGCAACTATAGGATATGCCTGAAAATAATCAGCCTGATCTTTGCTTAAAAGACGATAGGTTTTCTTATATATTTCTTTTAGGTGCGGTAAGATGGCGTTTCTCTTACAGGTGTATCTTATTCTTTCTTGGGGTGTGGCACATGAAAGTGAGATTCCCAAATCTCCCCTTATGATTCATAATCACATGTCTAGCAAGTGGGGACATTAAATTATGCCCTTTTATGTTTCCCATGTGGGTTTTTCCCACATATAATGTATCACATTCACATATAAATAGATAAACCACACATCTTGTATTACAATTCGCAAAATGGTGACTACGTTTCACCTGTCCAAAGGGGGTTGTAAAATGTTCACCTATCCTAATAAACTTGCAGAAACCACAATTCTGGCACTGGAATGTGTGTGTGTGTGTGTATATATATATACATACATACATACATACATACATACATACATACATACATACATACATACATGACCCATGCTTTCCTTTCTTGTATTCGCTGTTAACTAGCATATCCTTTAAAGATTTTGCTCTTCTATACGTTATCCGCGGAATCTCCGTAATGAATTTAGATATCCTTGTGTCAGAATTTAGGATGGACCAATGCTTGCCCACAATACTTTCAATGTCCTTGTACTGATTACAGTATTTTAGAACCAGTCTAACTTGGTCCTCATTACTCCTATGTATGTTCTTCTCTACTAGGTATGATCTCGTATACTTCACCTTATTATACATAGCCTTGCATAGACTTCTTTGTTTGAACCCATTTTCTTTCAGCCTCCTCAAATCATTTGCTGATTTCTGGAAGTCATTATCTAGGGTGCAATTTTGACTTATTCTCATGTACTGGCCTACAAGGATTCCCTTCATAGTACAATTCAGATGGGAGCTACTGGCCTCAATGATTGTGTTCCCTGCTGTTTTTCTTACGGTATAAATTTGTATATAGTTTATCTTCATCTTTACAAATGAATACATCCAAAAACAGTAATTTCTTATAAGCCATTTTGTATGTAAATCTCAAGTTCAATTCATTCCTGTTCATGACCTCTGCAAAATCCATAAAACATTTTCTAGTACCACTCGAGAGAATACAAATATTGTCTATGTACCTGTGCCATAATAATGTGGTAGCAGCAACCTTGGTCCAGAGTGGATCTCGCTATGTACCCGACATAGCGAGATCCACTCT